ATATAAAGAACAAAGATCAATCAATGATATATTGCCCATTTTGTTCGACAACCTTTTGCCATCTTTCAGTGAGCTTCATAATTCCTCGTTCATAGAAGAACTTGTCTTTATTTGGGAAAAACTGAACAAGGTGCTGATTTACAGCCTCATCTGAATTGAAAGGTATAATACCACACAAGGAGTTTTGAAGAGAATGAAACAAGTGAAAGTTCTGATGGTGCAAGGTCAGGCGAGTATGGTGGGTGTGGCAACACATCCCCTCCAAACGCCAATATATATATATATTTTTTTAATTGGGGAATTGGGGGAGGGAAACAGCGCTGGGGAATCGGGGGGAAGGGGAACAGACAAGTTGCTGTTGTTTTGTTCTTCAGTCTAGTTGTGGAGGATGTTGCTTCACTGGCCCAAGCTGGCACCATCATTGCACTCTTCCCGGGCGAGGCAGATCAGTCGTCGGCCTCTGGACGGCAGCTCACTGCTGCTGCTGGCCGCTCGCACTGGCTGCCGGCTACACACGGTAGCCCATGGCAACCCTCTGCAGCAGGGGACTGCAGCCTACGCCATCACCGGCGACCCACAGCAGCCCAGCCCCAGGTCAAGCTGCCATTCACCATCTTAGCTGTAGAGGGCAGTGTCACTGGCCCTCATATGTGGGATCCGAACCGGGGCCCTCTGGCATCCCAAGCCAGTTCTTAACCAACGCGCCTCTCGGCCAGCCCCTCCAATAATTTTTGACGGGTGATCAAACTTGTTTGTGGTCTCACGTTGTCGCGATGGAACACAACTCCTTTACAATTAATGAGCTCTGGATGTTTCTGGATGATGGATTCGTTCAAACTGTCCAATTGCCGACAGTACACATTCGAATTGATTGTTTGGTTCCTTGGTAGGAGCCCGAAAAACACACCACCTTTAAAATCCCCCCACACTGAGAGCATAACCTTCCTCTGATTCGATATCGTTTGAGGTGAATCGTCACGTTGGGACCAAGACCATTTGTGCACCACATTGTTGTAAACAATTCACTTCTCATCACCAGTTATTAGTCGCTTCAAAAAAGGATCATTTTTCTCATGTTTAATGAGCATATTGCAGATTTTTATACATGCCATCAAGTGAACTTTGAGTTCATGCGGAACCCAAATATCGAGCTTGCTTACGTATCCCAGCTTCTTCAGGTGGTTGTGAACACTTGAATGATGGATGTTCAATGTTTCTGCAATCTCTTGTGTCGTGTAACGTGTGTTTGCCTCCATCAATGCCTTTATTTTGTCGTCATCAACCTCGGTGGGCCTCCCTGACCGAGGAGGGTCATTGAGATAAAAATCACCAGCATGGAGTTTCGTGAACCATCGTTGGCACTGACGTTTTTGTAGAGCATTGTCACTGTAAACTTTATGCAACTTTTCACAAGCTTGATATGCGTTCTTCCCTTTATGGAAATAAAACAGTAAAATATGGCAAAAATGCAGTTGTGTCTTCCATCTTCAACTTGTTATAAAATCTCCAAAACGCAACCGAATCGCTCAATCTTTTTTTAGAATGAAGCTAGAACTGTCAGCTGTCAAATGACATAGCAATAACATAGATGCAAATGACTCTAGTACTTCCAAAAAGGAACTACTGCCATCTGTTGTAAACATGCGTCATGACTTTTCTGACAACCCAATAGTTCTACTATGATCTCTCAGTAGGACTCTGCCCTTTGAGCAGATTTTGCAGCACCTGCTCCTGCAGCATACCCACGGCTCCCCCAGCACCCCATGCTTGCAGCACAGGCAGCTTCTCAGGAGCCAGCTGCCGGTGCGCACCCAGCAGCACCCCACAGACAACAGCTTCCTCCGGCACCCCTGCATCTCATGATAACTATGTGACTACCTGATTAAGAGAAAGAAAAGATTCCCCCTTGCCCAATAGTAGCTTAGCCAATGGGAGACCACAATAACTCAGCCAATGAAAAGTCACTATACTTTGACCTTTCAGTTTCCTCCAATGGTCTTTTCCTTCACAACAGCCCCTCCCAAGTGGATAAAAGAGCCTCCCTCTTGCTTGTTCAGCTCTGGACTAGTGTGTGGTTCGTGCCATTAAACTGCATGTCCCAAATTGCAATTCTTTATTGTTCCCGAAAAAAAAAATTTTGCCGGAGAAACATCTGTTTGTTTAAAAGCCAACAACTCCATAAACAAAATTAATAAGTAAACAAAAGAAAATATCTGTTACAAATGGGATTTAAAAGCCGTAATTGCAAAGAGCTGCTATAAACAAATCACATACACAACCATATTTCTCAATGCACAAAAGCTATACAAAGTTAATTCTAAAAAGAATGGCCAATAAACATTTGAAAGAATGCTCAACCATATTAGTAATCAGGAAAGTTTAAAGCTGTAAGACACCATTTTTCACTCATCAGATAAGTAAAGCATTTAAAACACGGTAATATGCGGTGTTTAAAAGGTTGTGAGGAAACAGGCACTCTATCCATTGTTAATGGGGAATGTAAATTGGCAGTCTTTTTGCAGGACAACTTAAGAGTACGTATTAATTTTTTTAATGTGCATACTCCTTTGAATTAGACCACTTCCAGAAATCTATCTTACAGAAATGCTTGAACATGTGCACAAAGATATACACATAAAGATGCTCACTGAAGCATTTTTTGGGGGGGGAGGGGATTAGTGAAAAATGTAAACTTTCTATATGTCAGTCAGAAGAAAAATGATTATAAAGGATTGCTGAGCAGCCTTTAAAATGAATGAGTACATCTATAGGTACACAAATTTCCTAGGTACAGTGTTAAATGGTGAAAAGTAAATTACTGAATGCAAATTACATAGTGCATATGTGGGCATCATATACAGATGCATGTATACACGTGTGGGGGCAAACATGGCATAGAGTTTCACTTTGTACTTTGTATTTTGGTGTTGTTTTAATTAAGAAAACAGTTTAGAAAGAGATACATCAAACTGTTAGTTGTGTTTACTTTAGAGAGGGGAGAAAAAGGGTGAAAAGTGAGAGATTTTTACTTCTCACTCTATAAACTGAAAAAAATCAAACATGCAAGTATTATGCAATTTTGTGAAATTAAAACGTTAATACTAACAAAAATATGAAAATACTTTAAAAAATAAGTGAAATGAACCTCAACTAAGTTTACCCCAGCAATTTTCAAAATCACAATAAAAAATAAAATTGGACAAATCAAGTGTAACATATGGACTTTATTTGGATATTGATTCAGAATATATATATGTATATGTATATATACATATATTTACAAATGTAAATGTAAAAAAAAAAGTATACCCCAAGAAAATTTGAACACTGACTGGATATTTGATGATATTAAAGAATTGTTATTCAGTGTTAAAAATAAAATAAAATAAATAAAATAAAATTGGATGGCGTTACAGTGTTTTACCTGGTACTTTTCCAGTTCTCCTTCCTTCACAACATAATTAGGAATTACTTCAGAAGAATTCCTTACTGCTTTATGGAATATTACTACCTTAAATATTGTATTATCTTCCAGACACAGTTCAAAGCATAGTTAGCTCAAGAATTTCAGCTGAGAACCCCAAACTGGCAGGATATCATGGGTGGGGTGATTTTTTTTTGTTTCCTAATAAATATTAGAGCAGTATGTAATTTGTCTGTAGCTGTCCAATTTTCCTCAAAGTTACTCATTTAAAAAAAAATTATAACACCCATAAATATGTCATAAATTGTATATTTTATTGGGATTGTAGAAAGGTATTAAATGATCATGAAAGTAAGGTCATTACAAGGAATAAGAAAACGTTCAATTAATGATACCTAATATTAAATCATCGTCGCTAATCTTCCCCAGCACTTACTGTGTGTCAAGCAGCAGCATAATTAGAAGCAGCATGACTTTGCACAATGACACGCTCTAAAGCTTCAACCTTTTCCCAGGAGTACGCTTTGAAATATTCGAAGACTAAATGGGGATAAGGTAATTATAGGGACATTTACCTTACGATGGATAGGGGGGAAAAAAACCCACTGAAAAAAGAATGCGTTGTATTTATTTGGTGCTGAGAAACTGGCTAGACCCTATCTTACACAGGATCGGCCTGCGTCCATTCTCAACTGATCTCACCAATATGCAGTATTTTAGGTGTCACGTTAATTCGCAGTCGTAGGGACCACTGTGCACCACCACTTAACATTAAAAATGCACGTTGCAGGCCTTTTTCTACTTCAAACCCCAAAGTCCTTCACCTCCCTGTTAAGGGCGGGCACAAACGCCCTGACGCATGTTCAATAACGAGTTGCTCCCTCCATTTTGTCCCCCGTTTCTATCTAGGCGAACCGAGCGGTACTATTTTAAAGCCCCTAAGTAATGAACCTAAAAAAAGGAAGAAGGCGGGCTGGGCGTGGGAGCACAATTTGCTGGAGGCTGGCGCTCGGGGCTAGATGGCTGCTGGTACAGGCTGGAGTTGCCGGTGGCACCCGAGAATCGTCCCGGGGCCGGAAGGACAAAGGACACGTAGGGGACGCGGGCCGCGAGCAAGTGCAGACCGACTTCCGGGCTGGTGGGCCCGGGCTGGGGCCGGGCTCATCGGCCGCGGGGCTCGCGCGCAGGACAAAGCGGCGGCGGCGCGCCCGCTCCCAGCCCGCGGCCCCGCCCCCCGGCGCGCGCCCGACGGCCGCGCACGCGAGCACGAGCGCGCGGGCCATGGATAGAAATGGCGGTTGGCGGGGGCTGGGGTGGGGAGAGGCGCAGTCTCGAGGTGCCAGGGCGCCGCGCCGCCCGTGCCCCGGCGAGATCCCGGGCGCGGGGTTGCTTTCCCAGCCCTTCTCCTTCCCACGGCCCCGACTCGCGGGGCGTGGGGTTCCCCTGGTGGAGAAGGTGTGGCGCGTTCAGTGAACAAAGGAGACGGTCCGGGCCGGCGCGGCCACTGCGGAGCAAAAACGTTCCCTAAAATGGCGGCCGGCGCGCATGGGCGGGGCGGGCCGGCGCGTGGCGGGCGGGGCTTCCGCTCTCGGTGGCCCACGGCGGGGGCAGGGCGGGACTGGCGGCGCCGACTCGTCCTCATGGCCGCAGCGCCGGACCCCGGCGAGGCCGGGAAGGGGAAGGTAACCTGGGGGTGGCGAGGCGCGGGGGCGTGGGCGAGCGGGGCGCGGGCGGGCGCCGAGTGAGGACGCGGCTTCACGAGCTGGGAGACGCTAGGCCCGGAGCACGTGTGGGCTCCCCTGCGATCGGTGGGCTGGAAACGATTACCGTGTCTCCCCCTCCCCGATATTTTTCACTTGATTGCCATGACAGAAGTGACTACAACTAGGGGGAGGACCGGGCGCACCAATACTAATGACTTACTGCGGGTCACTATCAAACAGCTAATAATACTGAATGCTTTGGCAAGAAAAAAAATCGGACCATGGCCTTGCACTGTAATTTGCTAGCAGAGATTTAAAATCTCCCTGAGGACAGGTGCCTTGGCTTTGAAGTTGTGTACTTCACAGCACTTAACAGGAAGGGATCCGTACATGCTGAGAAATGGGAACTTGGGTATAGATTCTGGCGAGCTAGCAGGAGGATCGGATGAATGAGTTCTTTACGTTAAGCTTCCCTTCCCTCGACCTAGTGGCGAAGGCAGGCTTGTAACGAATAGCTTCCGCAGCTGGTATTCGTGTCGTCTTGCTCTGCCCTCTGCAGCCCACCTTCCACAATGGTCAGGTGTGCGCCATCGTGCGAACTGGGTCATTTCACCTGTGCCTCAAATCCAGTCATAGCAGCACGTTGCGTTCCCCTTGGCCTCTGATACAAAAACCCTCCATCTAGCTCCCCTGACGGATCGTGCATTCCTCCAGATGCACTCAAGCTAAACGGGGCTCGCTCTCGTCTTCCCCTGAAGGGCCTCCTGACTCAAAGCAGATTGAGGTGCTTGTGTCTTTCTCCCCTGGCACCTGGTACATAGCTCTTATCACCACCATTTATTATACCGGAAGTTAATATGTCTCTTGGGCTCCTTAAGAGCAGGGATTTTGTGAGAACCCTGGAATCTTTTGAGTTTTTATCCCTTTTGTATCAGACTATTCACCTTTGATAGGCGGTAGCTGCTGTCATGTAATGGTCATGAGGGTGGTTTAACCCACTGAGAATCAAAGATTTCAATTGGAAAAAAAAACTTGATTAAACATAATGGACTGGTGACGCAGATTTGTGCCTGTACATTAAGGGGGAATGTTTCCAACGGTATCACACCCTCAAACACTACTAGGGTCTTTGGTGCGTATTTCCTGAAAATTTCAGTTCACAAAAATATAGTTAGCGAATTTCTTATAAATTTTTGAAGAAACAGTATAAAAGTTGATTTCAATGGTTTAAACCCCGAGAACATGCATTTAAACAATTTAAATGCTCGTCCTCAATGTGTTAACATTGACCTATTTAATTGGTTCATTAGCAAAACAAAATACTGTAAAAAGGCCTGTAAATAGTTCATGAAACACTAGTTAACTATCAAAGCTCATCGAAGAGATTATAATAAAGTTAATGTAAGCTATGTCTGAATTAGCAGCCCAGGGTAATTTCAGATAAGGAAGCCTGCATTTTTTAAACTTTCAGTGATCTTTCCACCACAATCCAGGGATAGTTTGCTTTTTAGAATCAGCAAACCTACGATAAAAACGGTAAAGTTACCAAGCTACCATACCGGATAGAACTAGACCTTAAAAGCTGCCTTTCCTCTGCTCTCACTTTCTTTGAGAAATTTTAAAGTACGAAATTTGGCAAAGTGCTCTCGGTAAATTCCAAATTTATGAATTCACCCATCCAAAAAAGTATTTATTTACAGAGTACCTACTGAGTATTAAGTACTAAACTTGGGGCCTTGATCGAAACAGGCAAAATGCGTCCTTTTCACATTCTGCTGGAGTAATCAAACAAAAAATAAGAATTCCATTTACTGAACCAGCCAAAGATCAGGGAGAAAGGCAGTGTGTGCTAAGCAGTAACCACCTAGGCGTGTTAGAGGAATGGCCCATGTGCCTAGACTAGGGGAGAAGGGAAAGATGGGATACAAGGGGGAGGTGCCTGATCACCTAGGGCCTTCATACCAGCATGTAGGACATATATTATTTTAAGCACACCCAAAGGCCATGGAGGGATTAAAAAGGACAACAGTAGTCATCTTAGTGGAATCAACATCTTTTAAGACTGACAGAGGATGGTAACTTGGTAGTAGCAGCAGTGAAGATGAGAAGTGGTTGGTTCAGCTGTATCCTTCCAGACTTGCTGATACCTTAGACATGGGGATACCTTAGACGGGTTTGATGGAGAGGAATCAAGGATGACTACTAGGTTTGGGGCCTGAAAATTGGTTAAATAGTAATGCCTGAAAAATTATTCTAATTTAGAAATATTAAGTTCAAGGTGCATATTAGACGTAGAAGTGTCATTAGGCAGATTAATGAGACTAAAGCTTGGGAGAAATTAGGGTTTGACTTCTAAATTTGAGAGTCATATAAATGGCATTTAATGGAAAGCCTTGGGACACTGAGGGGGCCAGCATTTCAACATTTAGGTGTCATCAGAGGAGACTGCAACAAAGCTGCCAGGAAGGGCCAGAGAGAGAAAACCAGGAGACAGTGTCACATTTGAAGCCCAGAAGTTGTTTCAAAAACAATCTGCCATGTGCTGATGTACGAGTGCTATGGGTTTTTGCAAAATGAGTGTTTTTGAACCTTGCCATTTCAGTGGCGTGTAGGGAATGAATGAATGCCTCATTGAAATGAATTCAAGTCAGGGTGGGGAGGTTTATCAGTGGAGCAGCAACACATAGGTTAACTTCAGTTTTGCAGTGAAAGGGAGCAGGAAAAGTAGATGGTAATTTAGGAGGCTTGGTGGGAAGGGGTGTGATGAGGGGTTGCCTTTTCAGTGTTTCTAGGCTGGAGGTTATTATAGAGGGAAAACAATGCAAACGAAAGAAGAGATAACTGTAGAAAAAAGTCCTTGAGTAGTCGAGCAATGGACTGCAGCAGGACTAGTTTTAAATGGGAATAGGGCCAGTTCATCCTTTGCAACAAGAGGACAGTGTGGGCACTGAGGCAGATACATTTGGCAGTGAATGTGGTTCTAATTTGATCCGATCCTTTTCCTATAAACTGGCATTCTGGCTTAGAAATCGTTTGAGCTTCCCTTAGCTCCATCAAGGTGAGCTGGTAGAGCTTTTATTAAATCTAAGCTTAAAAATATTAGTCTACCAAAAAATTAGTCTAAAATTGTCTGAGTTTAAGAGCTTCAATTTGTTGTAATAAGTTAAGCCTTAATTCTGCAGACTTGGGGAATAAAGAGAAATGCTAATTTCCATTTCCGAGAATCTATAGCTCACATGCCTAAGACGGGTCCCTCATCCAGCATTCCATCCTTGCTCCTGGTCATTTGGGTAATCACGCCTACACTTCTAGTGAGAATGTTCTACCAGTGAAGGCAACACTGGTTTTCATTCCTTGTTCATCCTTACCCAGTTTTGATACAAACTGCAGATACACATGTATTTTAGTCCTGTTACTTACTAGATGTGTGGCCTTTGGAAAATGCCTCCTCCCTAAGCTTTGCCATCCGCACACAAACCCAAAGGGTTAATGATGCAGTGGAAGTGACAGGCTGGTGGGAAGGCCAGGCTGACCTGGCTTCCACTCTGCCAGCTCTTCACAGCCTTCCAGTAGACCCTGAGCCCTGGGGTTCCAGGTGAGAGCTAAAAATCAGGGATGTCAAGTGCCTGGCCCCCCGCTGGCTCTGAGTTATGACCAGTGTTGTTTCTTAACTTGGGCACTGACATTAGACCAGTGAAGTCACAGATGGGGCTGGTACATGAACTGTAGAACGTTTATCAGCAGCATCCAGGGCCTGTCCACACACTGGTTCTAAGCATGTACCATTTTAAGATATGTAACTTCTGTTGATATTTGTCTTTTAAAATAAGTGGACATGATTCCATTATTTGCACTTAAAACGTTTCTTTTCTAAAGTCTCTAAAAACAGTGTTTCCCTTCCCTTATCTGTCATCTCACACACACACACACACACACACACACACACACACACACACACACAACCTTAAGTTTTCTACAGATTCCAATGGCCCATCCCACGTCTGAATCAGAATCTGAGGGTGGGATTTGAAAAACTGCTAAGTAACCTAGCTGACTTTAACAGCACTATTTGATATTTTGCAAGTACATTTTACAAACTTGGTAAAAGCACTGGGGGTTGAAGGCATTTTGCCCAAGTGCCTCAAGAAATGTTTGCAGATTCTGGTGTATTTATTCTGGGGTGTGACACCATGGCTCCCTTTTGGAAGGGAATCCTTTTTTATTCTCTGCCCAAATGTGAAAGCCACTTTAACATTCTACCCTGTGGCACAAGCCGCTGTTCTCACTTGCTTCTAGGACATGATGAAGCTGGCACCACTGGCCACCACCCACCTCTGGCCCTGGCATCCCCCCAACACGCATCGGGGAAATAGGCTGGTTTGGAGGTGGGGACATTAGTCCTGTACTAGAATTCAGGGTCCATTCTCTGTCTCTACAGAGAGGCTCACAACCTGCCCCCACTGGGCTTGAGCTGCTAGGGTGAGAAACTTGAGTTTTGCTGAGACGAAAAACCTAGAAGTGAAATAAAAATCCCCAACCTTTGCATATGAAGATTTATATTAAAGAACTTGCAGAGTTAAAGTCTGCAATAATAACGAGCGCCTGCTGTGTTCATGTGTTAGGTGTGTGTGGGGTGGGGGGAAGGTAGTAGGGAGAGGCAAAAGAAAAAAATGGGATAGCATGATCCAAGAGTATATGATTTTTGCTTTATTATGAAACAAGTCACATTTGTCTTTTCTGGCAGAAGTTTGAGCCAAAGAAGAAAACATAGGAGAAAATACAATCAAGAATGTCTTCATGTTTCAACCTTTAATCTGACTTGTTGATGTCCTTCCCGTTTCTTCCAGTCTTTTTTCTCCCCTGTATTACCTCATCCTATAGGCCCCCCTCCCCTCCTTCAGCTTAAGGTCGTGCCTCCACTATATTAACATTTAAAAAGGATAACTGAAACCTTTACATGGACAAGCGGCTTCCTTTTAAAAGCTACAACACTGAAAACTTGCATTGAATCAAGTTTTAGAAAACAGTATCCTAAGGTTTTCTAAATCTTTAATAGAAATACCATAGTGAAACGTGGCTGTTTTTTCTTAAATGTCTGTCTTGCCTTCCCCAAGTCCCTAACATCCAGTTAAAATGACAGACGTTCTAAACATATTAAGGTGGCAGTGTTTTTAAATCAGGAGAACAAGTCCATAGTCAATGAAAACTAGAAAAAAATGTAAAAACCAGTTTAGCACTTGAAGGAACTTATTATCACCCAGCCCAGCCCCCTCATTACAGATTGAGGGCAACATAAATACAATCAAGTGCAATTTCATATCACAGGCAAGGAAACAGACCAGAAGCGATACACTGCCCACGTTCTATTTTTACATGAAATATTCTTACAAACACCAATAACATCTAAAGTCATTGTTAAAGGAATTTAAAACAAACAGCACTAAACTACTGTTATAAGCAAACACCATTAATTTTACTTCTCCCATTTATGCTTCCCCAAATTACTGGAAACAAAATTATACTGTTTTAAATTTCAGTGAGAACCAAATAATTTTATACAGATGTTTAAAGAGCTCATAAAAAGCGCTCATTTCCAAACCAGTCGGTTAGCAAATTAAGGTCTAACACCATAATTTAATTAATTTGAGTATGTTATCCTACTGGCTTGGGGCTTTCTGCTCCAATTTCCAAAGTTTCCCATTTTAAGATTCTGACTGTTCAGATTGTATATAAAAAGCAGTGCATTAAAAGACAATGTAAATGGATTCGTGGTTGTCACATAGCACATACTCTAGTTTAATAATCTTTGCCAAACCACCCTGACCTACCAGATTTTCTTGTTCAATCTAGGTTTTTATTTTATCCTAGCCCTTTAAGCTCCTAGGAATTTTAGATGTCGAAAACATTCCCTGTGCTCGGGACTCGATATTATACGGTTCATTAGGATCGGCTGTGGCTGGCCTTGGACATTTTTTGTTAACTAGTGAGTATGTTTTTCTCTATGTATAAAACACACACCTCTAATATAGTGAACAATTATTTTCTAGATGGAGTAATAAGTATATGACACATAATTAATGACAGTGATTGTGCTTCTTCTCGACAGGCAGAATTAGAAGGTCATGTGATGCTGCAGTAGGCGGATTCATCCTGGTGACTTTAGGATGCTGGTATGTGTACCATTTATTACATATTCAAGAAGATCCATGACTATAATAAGGTTTCTCTAATTCCAAAGCACATGCTCTTTTTAGAGCAGTTTCCCACACCGGTTTTTTTTTTTAATGATTTTTTCCGTTTTTTTTTTTTTTTTTTTTTTAAAGGACTTTTTAATGAAAATTTCTTCCAAAATACTGCTGGAGTGCCTTTATCTTTTAAAAATATGCTATTTTCTACTATTTGTCAAGTGAACAGATGACTGCATGACATTAGACATGCTGTTCCTACTTCACTTAGGAAGGCTTCAACCTTTTACCTTACCTCATGCTCACTTCATGCCTGCTGGTGTCACATCTGAAAGTTACTTCCAGAATGTTCGCAACTGATACAACATGGATGAATTTCAAATAGATCTTCTTGAGCAGACAAAAGCCAGACCCAAAGTACATACTTGTATGAGGTTCTACAAGCAAAAAATCCTCATTTTATATGAAACATGCCTTAATAATAAAAGAATGTAGGTATCTTTGACACCAAGCCACCTAAAATAGCACTCCAAATTGTACGGTTATATTTTTAGTCTTGGGGTATTCTTCTGTAAGCATTTTGCAATTTTGTTATAAAATTCCAAATTAGTTTCTATAGGAACTGTACACTAATGACTTATTCATATTCTTTTCTTACAAGGTTCCATTGTAGGTATAATTATGCAAAGCTAAGAATACAGGAAAGAATTGCCAGAGAAGGAATTAAAAATAAGATTTTATATGAAAGTACCCACCTTGATCCTGAAAGAAAACAAACCAGCGGCAACGGCAGCAACTGAGCCGAGTCCCAAGCAGAGAAAACCCAACACAACTGACTGAAGTCAGTGAGAACAAAGTGAGGGCAACTATGTAAAACATTATTACGTACCTGAGAAGGCTTTCAATCAAGTAAATAAAGGATGTGTAAATTGTAGTCTTTTTTAAAAAACTTGTATGAATACTTACGAACTTATTCTGGCCCTGTATCTACTGCCATCATAGCATATAGTGGATTTGTTGTATTTAAAATAAACCTAGCACTCAGCATGTTTAGAAAAGTTTCCTTGTAATAAGCAGTGAGTATAAATGAGGGCAGTTCAAGAAATCAAATCTCTCCCATTTGGATTTTAAATCTTGCCTTAAAAACAAAAGTACAACTGTATGATGTACCCTGTTAAAAATGAGGGAATATTTCCTGGCTTCTTAAGCCAATGATCATGTAAGACTTAAAACGAATGGATTGTATCATTTTGCAGTTATTTAAAAAACATATCCATTGCTTGACACTTTTTCCATTTCTTAAAACAGTTGGTTTATCTACCTCAAAGTAAAGGTTGGTTTTTTAACTGATCTAATTATTTTTTGAAAGTATGCAGGGTTAGTTTTTTTAAAAATAGAATTTAAATATGCATATGGTATGCAAAGTTTCAAACTTGTTTGATCCGTACAAGGGGGAAAATTGCAGGATTACTACTTACATAGTATTACAACGACAAATAAGACATTTATAATTCAATCAGCTGTCATAATTTTTTAAACACCCAACATCTAACTAAATCCACAGCATTTATTCATTCAGGAAAAAAATTCTTCCTCTCCAAAGCAATAGAACTATTTTGTTTTAATAAACATCAACATTCTCAAGAAAATTCTTTTCAATAAAATATAAGCTAGAAGTCTTCCTGGTTAAAAAATGATAAATGATTAAAAAGAGACACAGTGGACATGATTATGGCATTAGTATTGGTCCTATTACTTGATTAGTATGGCGAGCTAAAGAAGAGCAAGCCAAGGAAAGAAGGTCCTGCGACTTGCTTGCTCTAGTTCAGCACACAAGAGACGGCATTTCCGCTCCCATGCCCACCTTCTCATGGCTATTATGAGGGTTGAGGGCACACAGGCTACATCGTTTGCCAAATGTCCCAACTATGAGTGAGTGACACTGTCAAACACATGTCCTAAGGGATTTTTATTGATCCTAATCATCTGGCAGCCACCAAAGGATGTAGACATTAATAAGGGAAGGTTATTAGAAAGGAAAATGCAGTTTGCAAAATTACCTGCCCATTCTTACTGACACAAATCAACGCTGAGTCCAGTCTATGTTCTTTGAATTGATGGTGATCAAATAATATGTTAAAAATTCCATGATGTGACTGACAGTCACTCATGTGAAGAGGCAGCACTGCCTGAGTGGGGGAAGTTGATGCATACTAATCAAATCTGATTTTAATAAGCTGTTTGTGCAGGCCACTTATGTTCTCAGCTCCAGGCTACTCATGTATGTAACATATAAAACCAGGCAACTGGATTAAGTAACTGAAGTCCCTTCTAGCTCTAGCAGACTATGATTACATCTTACCCTGAGTGAGAAGAGAAACCTCTCGGCTGGTAAAAACGTCCAAGGTCTTTACCAATAACAAGGTTCGTTTCATTTCCACAGCAGAATGATTTCATAAATTGGAGACCTGGATAAAAACAAAAGTGGTGACATACTTAACTGGATTAGTTTTTAAATGTCATTTCTTAAGTTTATATGATTAACACTGCATTTTCTTCTTTAATTAGTAAGACGTTACAATATATTAATGAAATAACTCCTAAACTATGTCACACTCCTGGGCCCTTTTCACACAGCTACAGCACACACCTCCCGTGACACTTCCACTTCCCGTCTCTCCAATTCATTTCCACTCTGCCACCCAATTTCAATTCCAAACCAATTCTATTTCCAGGGCACCTCTAGCTGTGCGCCACCTGAATTCATGCCTTTGCTCAAACTGCTTCATTCCACTTTGAATGCCTTTCTACTTCCTGTGTATCATTTTTCATTCTCTTGCTCACTAACCTCTGGGAATTAGAATCACCTAAGTTCTCACACCATTGCATCTGTTACAGTACTTGGCATGTTCATTGGTCACTGACTTGTGCTACAAGTAAAGCCTAAGTTTCTTGTCAAGGACCCTATCAATTTTTATCTCTGCATTCCCAACCGAGTGTCTGTCGCAAGTCAGTACATGTTAAACTGAATTACTAGCAAGTGGAGAGGTCCAGGGTCCTTCTCATTCACACACACATTTTTCAGGTTTTAAACAGAGTAACCTACCTTCCAGGCCCACTAGGAACCTCCAGCCGCACTGCTTCCTTCATTGTTCCATTAATTCCGAAATTTCATACTAGGTGACATAGCAGTAGGTACCAGCTAAATAGCTGATTAAAATAGAATTGTGCTCATTAGTAGTTTTAGAGACTTTGGGTGGCTTATCTATCACACTTTGTTAAATCTTTCTAGTGCTCTATGCATTTCCCCCTTCCCTGACCCCTCCCCTTTGTTTTTCCTTCGCTACTTGCTTTTCCATCTCAGTAAAAGAAACTCGGGGATTTAAACTACAAGCTTTTTTCTGGACTTGCGATTTATATTGACCAAATTGGGCAACAAGAAATTTTGACTATCCCTAGAACCATTATTTGATTTGCAAGCATCTCTTTAGTCTACGTACCTCTACTCCATCGCTGGTTTCCCTTTGCTTCGATTACATAATGCGAGGAGGTCTATATAATAAATTCAGGATTCCTGTTTATGCACTTTTCAGCAAAGAGCTAGGGATCAAATAGGGTTTAATCCTCCTATTCCTAGATAAAAATCTGTTGCGGATGGGGGTCAAGGCACCCCTTTAAGTCATGTTAATGTATACACTGCTTTGGGTAAGCAGAAAACCTTAATGAGGAAAGTAGAAAAATTAAAACAATTGCTGTAATTGATTTTTAATGGTCTAGAATCTTTCTGGAAGCATCTTAAAATACGGTCCAGTGGTCATCAAATCAGGTCAGTATAATGTACCAATATCATCTGCCACCCAAGTATTGGTATTTACTCTTAACTTTGTGCATTAAGTTCCATCTTTAAATTTTTCTCTTAAGAGGTTTAGGGACCAACTTATGTAGGGATTTTTCAAAGTATTACATTTTAATTTGTAACATGAGCACTCCAGATTGTGTTATTGCAAATAACTGAGCCTTCGACCCCTGCATCCGCCTTCCTGTTCACTTCCTAAAATAAGGATGACGTTTTCCCCAAGTATGTCTATCTTGAGAAAGCTACCAGTGACACTGAGCAAGGACTCATTTTAGGGTTTCTATTGTTCACTTTAAAAGTTTAGATCAATTTAACAGGTATCTGTTCCACCTTTTTCCTAGGAATAACTTCCACTAAGTCCTGCCCTTAGGGGTTCAAAGTCAAGTGTACGTGTGTGTGCTGGTTTCTTAAAAAGGCGAGTTTCCATAGAAGTGTTTCTTCCCCTTAGATTGTGAGGACAAGCCATGTGAAATGAAACATGCTTTACTATCTGAATCCAAAGCTTATTTTGGAAACTAATGTTTTTCTAACTTTATGGGGTTTTTTCTCATTGAACAGTTGTCTGCGCTTCAGAAGCCATTAGATTGTTTTTAGTTGACAGAGGAGAACTCTATTTCATTGAACAAACCCTGACAGCTCATTTCAAATCAGTAGAGCACCCAAATCCTCTTTATTTCACTAAAATACATTATTCTGGAGTACAGTGAGAAAAATGAATTTCCTCTAAGGCTTCAAAGTTTTAAACTTCAGGACAAGAAATTATACACTCGTCCATGGCATAAAGCTCACACTGAGCCTTCTTACTCCTTCTATTTAGAATTTAAATTTACTTCCTAGTTGATTTTTTATGTACTTTGACATGAATTTGTATAACCTTCATTATCCAAAAGGATGTTTTTTTCCAAAATTTTATTATCTAATAAATACTTCACATCAGGTATGCACAGAAGAGATTAGAAAACCCCTTTTTCCTATTTTAGAATCTATCCATCTGATTACCAAATGTCTCCCGTTCCCCATCTTTTTAAAATTAGGGGAGTATTAAGGTGATCCTGGAAGCCCAATGTAACAAGTGTTAAACGTACAAGCAGCAATGAATTTGGAATACCTATTGGAATCACTGGAACACTTAGATGGGCCCTTTTACTCTTCCACACAGCACATTCACATGGACAGACTAAGGAAAAGGAGATGAAATTTAAATCAGCATATTTTTTTTTATTACTTTTCAAAAAATAGTCAAGTTGGAACCTTTCATTGTATTTGAACATGACTCCCATTCTCCCTCAACTGACACTTTACAAAATTATCCTGTTAACTTGCCAAATAATCCCCAATCTTTCTTCTGAAGTATGGATTTTATGTCACCGTCTCTCTGTATGCCTTAACACTAAAAGCTTTTATGTCACGAGTTCGATATCTGCACTGGCCATCTCACTGTTGTCAGTGGCTTTTAACTTTTAAAAAATTTTTGGCTGGTCATTTGTGGCAATGCTTCTGAGGTGCTTGGCTAGCATGGATTATTTTACTGGACAAAACTAATTTTACTTCCTGTAAGATCACTGACTATTGAAGGGACAGCAGAAAGAACATGCCACACAGTTCAATGTTTCAGTGAGATGCTATGTTAGCGCTCCAGCCTGTAGCCCGTGCAAATCCTCCAGTAGTGCAGATACTCAAGCTGGACGTGCTTAGGAGTAACTGCTGGGCCACTGGTACTGCACAGTCATCTTAACGGTGCATCAAGTAAGGGACTGAACCTTTCTGTACATTTCTGTATTTCTCTCGACTGTTATTACCTCATCAATTTTGACTCTAGTTTCTCATACCCACAGATCCAGCTTTGATTAAAAGCAAAACCCCTGTTCCTTGTCAAGATGCAAGTTAATGTTGAATCCTGGCATAAAAAGGGAGAAAAAATTTTATTTCTAGGCAATAATTAGATAACTACAAATTAAACACATGATTAAGTTCCTTGTCCCAATAACTCACCTAACCAAGCAGTGATTACTGATACCCTGGCCTGTCAGTTACCTGCACCATTTTAATACTGGATCTACAATCACAAAATTCCGACTAGCTACAAAAGCCAAAACAATTACTTATTCAGCTCTCCACGTGGACAGCGTATTTCCAACTGCAGTATATTACATTCTTTGAATAATTCTAGGTTAATATCTTTCTTATTTCCAATCTACCATCCCTTACAGACTAAGTCCCTTGGGCAAATTAAACTTTCAATCACCTGTATTTTTAGTCAATTGCCTAGGATGTGCAAGTCTATCCTTAATGTAGGTGCATACTCCATTAGCCATTCCCACCTATCTAAGCTTTTATTTTCTGAGCTGAAGTTGTCTGCATGGTTCAAACTAAGGGTGACCACTAAATAAAGCTTACATATTTAGTGAGATCCTAATTACATATCAAG